TTTTGAAACATATATTTACTCACCCTAATTTGGGTCAGTTTAAAACATATGTTGCAAGTTATACACAAAATCTGAGCAATTGCCTATTTGCCTTTGATTACAGAGTTCAGTAACATAGCAAAGGATTCCACTTTTTCAAATTGATACACTTTTCTTAGTTTCAGTAAAAACTCAATGTGTGAAATGCCTTTTTTAGTTTTAGTCCTCTGTGAAAAACCTTGAAGCATAGAATTGAGGCAAGGAATGGTACTCATTGAAGTCAAAATGACTGCCCACTTCAAATCTTCATTGTGTTTACACACAGATGTATTTATAAAAATCAGAGGCAATTTGTAGATGCTTTGCTGACTTGTTCATCTCTTTGGAAACACAGAAACCAGACCCATTTTGTAAAGCAGAAAATCATGTTGCATAGAACATGTCCTGTATATATTCCATTTGGCTACATGGTAATGGAGTCTTAATGATAAATGCAAGGTGGTAATTTAATGATGGGATTAGCCTGATCACTTAATTTGCAGAATCCTGGAAGTGAATTACTTGCATCAGATATAGTGATATTTATTATTCTGTACAGAGAGAAAAATACATATAAAACATATGCTTACTTTACATGCACGCAGATTTCATGCTCCATAAATCTTTTCTATTTTTTAATTTACCTTTCTCTAAATGATGTGCATGGAATATGCCTTATTACAGAGAAATGCTGTTCATAATCTGACTATGTGGAAAAGTGCCTACATGGTGGTAATGCTAGCGAGGCAAATAAGACAAATTATCATACCAGTTTACTACTTCACCAGTTAACATTTTATATTGTGATGTTTTAAGAAAAAGTTTATACCTCAAATGTGTATTTTATTTTACAATCAGCTGTGGGATTGGGATGGGCGAATGGGAGGGTTTGGGAGGGAGGTTCATTCACTCATAAGCGCTGAAGGGAATCTTCAGTATAATTTTTGGTGCCCACTGTGTTTCTTTTTGCCATGTCTGATAACATCATGAATATGGACACGTAATTCTTTCATAACTAAATCGCATAACTATATTTTACAAAGGTATAGAAAGTTTACAAAGCAGTATCTAAATCTAACTATCAATAGTTGCATTTGCACTAAAGGTGATGATATACTTTTTGCAATTTATTCTGTAAATAAAATGATTACATTAAAATATTTGTATTAAAAAAGAATGAAAAGATACATGTTACCTTTAGATAACTAACTGTACTGGTACTTTACTGGAGTTAATACTGCCTGCTCAATCAAATGTAGAAATGAGTCTAGGAAAATGGAAATATTTCAAAAGAGTTCAAAATTTGGAAAGATATTGGCCTTAAGACAGTATTTCAACCTTCTAGAATTATTTTCATTTGACTAATTCCTACATAGTGAATGTTCACATTTTCTCATCCACAGACAATTTTCTTTCCCTAAGCAAAAGTACCCTTTTACTCTATTTTCTACTCAGTTACTTCTTTGTGCTGTGTTGGAAACCTGAAAAATATTGGTGATCTAAGGTTTTTGTCCCAGAGTGCTTACTGAGCAGGACAAGAGAGCACAGTGTGTCATTTGGAATTCAAGACTCCTGATTTTTTGGTGGAAAAGGAGCAGCAGTTGGTTTGGGATTGCTATGGGGACAACCAGACCAAAGAGGAGAGCAAGGGAGGAGAGGGGGAGGAGAAAGGTAAGAAAGCAAAATGGGGAAGAGGAAAAATGGATTTCCCATTTGTTTCATTGGCTAATTTGTACAACTGTACATCAGTGTCAGTTGCTATCATGACATTTTTAGTTGGGCCGAGCTGGTTCTCCTGTGAAATTGTGCTGGTTATCTTTAAGCTTATTGGTTGTTTGTCCAATTAAAACACTTCACCAGTATTTAGTCCAGGTTGTACAGATGGTGTATTTGGCTTACTGTCATTGTTCATCTACAGACTCAAAACATAATCATTTTAAAGTACCTTGGGAGTGTGTAGAGTGTAACTATAATAGCTTTATGATTCTGATTTTTTAAAATAATAAAGTTGGATCTTCCATGTTAAAATTTAAAAATTTAAACCAGTATTTAAAAGTGGAAAAGTATTAAAATATTATGGACAAATGTGCTTGCTTGATTTGTTTTCAATTCCAAGATGGTAGCCTTCATAATTCTCTGAGTAGTTAGAAGCTTTCTTGAAATACCACTTCAAAGTGTTCTTCAAAGTGTAAGTTGTAACTGTGTCTAGGAAACAAAATATTTGTGATTTGCAACCTACCTTTTTTAAAATTTTTATTTTCATTTTACTTCTTGTGTTGCTGGGCATTGAACCTAGGGCCTCATGCATGCCGGGAAAATGGTCTACCACTGAACGGCCACCCTAGTCCTAGTC